ACATTTGGTGAAATACGATAATTGCAGTTCAGTCATGATTAATTTATAAATTAATGACAAAAGCTTTCAATATTGCGTACTGGACGTTTCATATATTTTATGTATAATCAAGTTGGCACTTGCAACTTTTAACCACTTTTTAATTTCTTAACATGTCTGCGCCCATGGGGGCGACAAGTTCTATGTAAAATAAAACTTTAAGACTATTTTCAGAAGAACTATTATTTTGTATTTACATTTCTGATGAGGGGTAAATGATTAAGTCCACATTTAAGTCAATATTCAGGTATGAATGAACCCTTATTGCATTACTGTAGCATATTTGAGGGCAAATGGAGATAAATATGTGTGCAATGGAAATATATAAACAAACATACTAAGACTAATCAACAAAAATCCATATATAATATACTGTGATTTTTTTTTTTAATTATTTGTAAAAAAAAAAAGTCCATATGCACCATTAATATATACTTACAGATTAACTTGCTGCATTTGTATCTTGCATCCACAACCATTATTTCCACCAATAAAGCACAGCAATGAAAAATACTTTAAAATACATTTGTCTCTTGTAATATCTCGTAATTAGAGCGGGTTTGCATGAGTATCACCTGTCCAGTAGGGGGCGATGTCAAACAGCATTGGTCAAGAGGTGGCGTGAGTACGCGTTTGCAGGTGTAAACAGTCCTTTGAGCATCGAGGAACGTGGAACAGGTAAGCTATGAAACACGTGCTTGTTTGGTGCTCTTATCATTTCCGCCCAGGTTTTCAATGAAGTGACTCACAATGCAGTTAAATTAAGTTCACTAGGCTTGCTTTTGATAATGATATGTACTACTTTTTGTGACTGAGATTGTTTAAAGTTGCTGTAGCTGGCAGGTTTTATTTGTTGCTTGTGCAGTTTCTTTATAATGATGATGATGATGATGATTTGTTTTTGTGTTGCGTTTGGTTGGTCCTACTTTTTATTAGTTTTGAAAGATCTAAGTCTTTTAGCACTGTAACAAGGAAGTGTGAATATGAGGTTATGAAACTTTTTTCCCATAATGCAGTGTCCTTAAAATGACCTCCCATTTCCTGTGTCATTTAACCACACATAATATTAAGGAGGATATTTTTTTTGAAATCATATTTGATCAGGCTCCTGGATGCAAAATCAAAAATGAAAAAAGAATTGAAAAGTTCTGAATGGATGTCACTTACTAAATTAAACATGATGGTTGTGTGGCAATGTAGCATACTACTTTTTATTATTATTCTTTTTTTTAAATAATTTGCTGTTTCACTTACTATTTTTAATAAGTAGTAGGCTGTATAAAGTGCACACTATTTAGTTTGTTGGCTAGTATTCCATTCTGAACCTACATAGTGTATGCCCTTTTTAAAGTATATATGAGATTAGCTAGTCATTCATTTGTATTTATATGCAAGCATTTTCAACTTTGCAGATTTAGTATTTTCTTTAATTGCAGTTGCTTTTTGATTTGAATTATGCACAAATGTCAGGAAGCAGTACAATTTGAAACCCGTACCAGTCCTGACTGACATGCTACACAGTCTGTGGAGTCTTTGACCTTTCAAAATGATAACTGATATTTTGTGAGCTAGACAGAGCATGGCACATCTGACCTAAGGCTTTCTGTGGCATTCTCCATAGGGCAGTGAGTGAGTCAAATAAACTTTATTGCCATACACGTGACTGAAATGCAAAGAAGAGAATGAAATATATGTTCTGGATGTCACAAGTGAAATATCTTAGTTGACAATGACACTAGATCTAGACTTTAGAGAACATATTATCTAGGGAAGTATTGTATATTATATAGATGAGGTTAAGTATTGCATAAGAATATGCAATATACATATATATAATGCCTGTCTAGATGGAACAGTTTTCACATATTGGTTTTCTTTCTTGTACTTAAGTAATTTTACCTTTTCACCAGGTTTTTCGTGTTTCAATAGCAATAAGTATGCATTGGATTAACAGGAAAGTAAAACTGTAAAGGGACCTGACTTCTGATCACTCACGTGGAACATATTTGAACATGCAAAATATGTACGAGCAATGATTTACGAAACCCATTTCATTCAGTTTCAGTATGTTGAAATGATTTCCAAATCTAACTACCTCTGCACTAATGCACACTGTTTCAAGCACACTTAGTTGATCAGAATACCCTTATTGTGTCTGTCACTAAGCTGTGGCTTGTATAAGGTGGATGCTTTTGATTTATTGGTCGCTATTTTTGTTTGGCATTTTGTTTTGTTCATTTAAAATGCCAAACCTTTTTGACTACAGCTCCCTGCTTTGTCTGAGACAAATTCTTTAGGCTTATAAGCTGATACGTTACTGATATACGTACGCATATGCAACATTATGTTTAATGTAGGGCTGTGCAATTAATCGCATGCGATTGTCATGCGCATCTCGTCAGTAAAGCCGGTTCCGTGATTGGTAGTAAATCTCCATTACCTGCTTTCAGAAGGAGCGACATTTACTACACTGAGTTGTAGTTCACTGACAAGCTAGGCAATATCGCATTCATAATCGCAGATGAATCGCATTCGATTATGAACGCCATATTGCCTAGCTTGTCAGTGAACCACGGCTCTGTGAACTTCTAATGTTATACATCTTTGTGTTTTTTAAGCATTTTAAGACTTAGTATTCCTGTATGTTTGCAAAGGCCCTTTAGGGAGTCGCCTGGTTGAGAACCAATGTCTAAGAATAATACAATAATAATAATGCCAAAAATAATAAATAAAATAATCAAGGTATTAACATGTACCTTTATCCAATGTATGTTGTGTTAGTGTGTCTAAAAGATGCCCCCTTAAATTTCTGTTCTGGAGTCATTAGAACTGTCACCTCTGCCCTGCTGGTAGGAATTTCATGGACATCCAGAGCATAACAGTGAAAGAATACAGGTCCATCTCAATAAATTAGAAAAGTTCATTTATTTCAGTAATTCAACTCAAGTTGTGAAACTCGTGTATTAAATAAATTCAATGCACACAGACTGAAGTAGTTTAAGTCTTTGGTTCTTTTAATTGTGATGATTTTGGCTCACATTTAACAAAACCCCACCAATTCACTACCTCAACAAATTAGAATACTTCATAAGACCAATAAAAAAAAAACATTTTTAGTGAATTGTTGGCCTTCTGGAAAGTATGTTCATTTACTGTACATGTACTCAATACTTGGTAGGGGCTCCTTTTGCTTTAATTACTGCCTCAATTCAGCGTGGCATGGAGGTGATCAGTTTGTGGCACTGCTGAGGTGGTAAGTTTTATTTGGCTAAATGTAACAAGGTCAAACAGTGTAGACATTGAAAGTTTTTAAGCTATAATTTAAGTCATTAAAGGTGTTGTAAGTAAACAACAGTTAGTGAAGCCCAGCTAATGATGTTGCGTAGGATATAGCATTGAAAAAATGCGGGATAGGAACAGCAAGATGAGCATTCTTAAAATGTGCATAAAAATGTATGCACTCTATTAAGACAGATCATTTATTTATTTAATTGTTTTGTATTAGATGAGAAAACATGCATAAACTATGATGGAAACACAGTTACTGAATAAAGTCAACAAATCCTAAAAAAAAGAATAGAAATCTTCTGTAACATTATAAAAGTCTTTAATGTGACTTTTAATGCATCCTAAGTAACAGTAGTAAAAAATATAATAAAAAAAAAAGTTTTTTTTGTTGTTGTTGACTTTTAAATTGTCCATAAATTAATATCAGAGGGCAAGTGCAGCTGGTCAAAAGTCTATATATGTTGCTATGTCTCCTGCTGTACATCAGTGAACAGGACATCATGACCCATTATGCTTGGCCTGTGCCTAGGATGGTCCTCATGTTGTCTCAGTGCTGTCTTTTTGTCTCTACAATAGGCCTGGTAGCCCACTAACTGGCAGGACATGACAAACACAATAGGCCCAGGCAGGCGGAAAATAGATCCACTATCCTAGATTTCTAGACTTGGGGTTACGCTGCAAGGTTCATGCTAACAAATTCTGTTATGCTTTCACAACCAATTATATTCATGCAGATGAACACTAGGCTTCTCAGTAGTGCTTTGTCACTGGAGCAAGCTACATCGAGGAGGCAGAACGTATTTAACTGAACTGAATTTTTTTCTGTGTTAAAGGATTACAGCTGTTTTAAATGGAGTTGAGGATTTGGGAACTCTTGTAATGTGGTTACAACTGTTTATACTTTGCCATGGTCCTATATTAACATAAACTGTTGTTTTCGGGACCCACAATGTGAGAATAGAGAATTACACAGAATTTTGCTTTATATGGATAAAGCATTCCTAAAAATGGTCTACGTATTAATTTAAAGAGATTTTTATAAAAGTAGTAGGTGTATATTTGTATCTGCATGTATATTATTAGTGTACAATATGACTAGGAGTACTCAACTTTAAGTATGCTTGCCGGGAGTAAAAAAAAACATGAAAATTAAATTTACATTTTATATATACTGTATATAACACTGTGCCTGTGCTGTAGAAATTTGATAGCAGTTTTATGTTTTCAGGTTGATGATACTCAAGTTTTGTGGTATTGAGATTTATACCTTTAAAAAAAAAAAAAGCATGTACTGGTAATAAAATTATTTTAAATTATAACCAAGAACTATTTTTGTGGCAGATTAAAAAAAAAAACTATTTTGTTTTAATGAACTAAAAATGCATCACAAAGTAAGGAAAGCAATAATTTAAATGCTACAAGTGAATATAGGCATCATACTTTTATGTGCAGTATGAAAAATGTATGTTCATTTTGAGATTTTGTAAAGACTTCATGTAGCAGTGTTATTACATTTTTGTTTTTAATGATAAACTCTAAGTGGAAAAAATTGCTAAATTAAATATTCAAAATTCAAAAAGAAAATTTTGTAAGAAAAAATATTGAGAGGTACTTAGGAACAAATATATAAAATAGCTTAAATCTTAACCTATGAAACTGAAATAAAATGGGACCTATAGACATATAATCTCACCTAGTTCAGGTGCCTTGCTGAGGACAAAAGCATAGGCCCAGAACTTGCTGACTGGTCCGTTGTAGAAACTCTGATCGCACACTGACTGCTTTAGGCCTTTGGTCATCAAGATGTTCACCATGTAGCCTCCAGTTCTGATGGCACCAAATATACTGAAGAAGGATGTGCAACAAAACAAAAGAGACACTTTAAATCAGATACAAAATGGTATATGCTTTATTGAACTGTTAGGACTACTAAGGCTAACGATGCTTTATTTTTTTATTGGGTGTGCTTATTTACTGACACTTTACATGGTGTGGCTGGGCAGTTACTTGGCACTCAGGTTCCAGTTTTAGGTTTTGTATAGTGGATGCCAAAGGCCGGATCATGTGATAAACCTGGAAGTGCGATGTAGTCTGTCTCACCACCTTTCTACAGTCACTATAGTGCTGATCTCCACACATAGAAGAGGGAGATATGTTACATTGTTAAGTTAGACGACATGTTAAGGTGCAAGCTCAATATGAAATTATTTATGCAGGCCTCTTATGTACCATATATGCAGGTCTTTATGAAGGAACGAGGAAGTGGCTTGTTTTTCTGGCTATAATGCACACCATTAATCTGCTAAAACATGAAACAATTTATAAATGCGCAGTATTCATTGCAGTGTGTTATGTGCAAAATCACTTTAAACACAAAGTGCACATCAAAGAAATGTGAAGTGTCTTTCCATTCTGATTCTCGATCTCGAACAAGCAAATCACCAAACGGCATTCTGGGTTGAGCGAGCGGCGCTGAGCGTTTTGAGCGAGCGGAGCGGAATCTTCAGAAAGGCGCTCTGCGCTCTTAAGGAAATATTACCACTCCGCTCCCCGCTCCGCTCACGCTCCGCTCCGCTCACATGCTCTGTTCACTACAGTGTATTGTAATGTGCAAAACGGCATCACTTTAAACACAAAGTGCACATCACAGAAATGTGAAGTGTCTTTTCATTCTGACTGATTTAAGTATTTTAAACTATAATCTGTTAGCAAACTGGTTTTATCTTGCACTGCCATTGCATTATGACATCTGATTTAATGTGCCGTAAAAGCTTCAGAAATGGGCCTACCTCTATGAATAATGGCCTACATGGGTTATTACTTTACATATTGTTAATTTACGTTACATTTTAATTTCCATCACTTATAGCACTGCAGTGTGTTAAGTAAGCAAATATGTTTTAGCATTAACAACAGGTGTTGTAGGCAAATGGATAGATGCATGTAACACCCATAGATACACCCTTAAACATTTGCATGCATGAACCATGGCCCATTTACCAATAGACATATTTACCTGAAGGCTGCAAGTGTTAAAGACCATAGTACTAAAGGTTTCCTCAATTCAAACTTCTCCCTTTGTTTCATTACATGCCGCCCACCGAGTATGCAGGCAGCGTAGAGTGCAGAGAAGAGGAAGGACTTCTTCCTGTAAGGAATGAGATGGCAAAAAATGAGTAAAGTCCAAAGAAACGTTCACGTCAACCTTTAGCGTGACCTTCTGCTCACAGTATATTTTCATGATGACCTGTCAATTTGATGAATTTACAATTTTATATAAGTGACTGAGGTTTAAATTTGAAGCATATTCCAAGTCAGACTACATCAGTATTTTAAAAAAATAAATTTTTAAATATCAGAACAAATGTCAGAACTATGAAACCTATATGCTGTATATAAGTGGTTATTTAGCATATCATTTTATCCAAACTATATATTCATATGCACACTAACAAGATTTGGTAACACTTTATTTTAAGGTGTCCTTGTTACAGTCAGTGTAATTATACATTTAAGTACTGAGTAATATTAATTAACTACATATACATACTATATGGTTAGGATTAGGGTTTGGCTTAGGGTTACTTGCATGTAATTATGCATATTTAATTGTTATTATAATAGTAAGTACATGTAATATGTGTAACAAGGACATCTTAAAAAAAATTGTTACCCAAGATTTTTTCAATGTTTTGTTTTCATGTCTTGATGTCTTTTATGCTCACCGAGGATGGATTTACTTGATCATAAATACAGTAAAAACAGTAATATTGTTAATTATTTTCTATATTTTATTTTAAAATATTTTAGCCACTGCTCGAGTCGTCAGTGTCACATCGTGCTGCAGAAATCATTCTATAATATGCAGATCTGCTGCTCAAGAAACATTTCTTGTTTTCAACATTAATATTAATATTTTTGTGGACACTGATATATATTTCAAGATTCTTTGATGAATAGAAAGTTCAAAAGAGCAATTTATTTTAAATCAACAGGTGTTGTAGGCAAATGGATAGATGCATGTAACACCCATAGATACACCCTTAAACATTTGCATGCATGAACCATGGCCCATTTACCAATAGACATATTTACCTGAAGGCTGCAAGTGTTAAAGACCATAGTACTAAAGGTTTCCTCAATTCAAACTTCTCCCTTTGTTTCATTACATGCCGCCCACCGAGTATGCAGGCAGCGTAGAGTGCAGAGAAGAGGAAGGACTTCTTCCTGTAAGGAATGAGATGGCAAAAAATGAGTAAAGTCCAAAGAAACGTTCACATCAACCTTTAGCGTGACCTTCTGCTCACAGTATATTTTCATGATGACCTGTCAATTTGATGAATTTACAATTTTATATAAGTGACTGAGGTTTAAATTTGAAGCATATTCCAAGTCAGACTATATCAGTATTTTTAAAAAATAATTGTATATATATATTTTAAATATCAGAACAAATGTCAGAACTATGAAACCTATATGCTGTATATAAGTGGTTATTTAGCATATAATTTTATCCAAACTATATATTCATATGCACACTAACAAGATTTGGTAACACTTTATTTTAAGGTGTCCTTGTTACAGTCAGTGTAATTATACATTTAAGTACTGAGTAATATTAATTAACTACATATACATACTATATGGTTAGGATTAGGGTTTGGCTTAGGGTTACTTGCATGTAATTATGCATATTTAATTGTTATTATAATAGTAAGTACATGTAATATGTGTAACAAGGACATCTTAAAAAAAAGTGTAACCCAAGATTTTTTTAATGTTTTGTTTTGATGTCTTGATGTCTTTTATGCTCACCGAGGATGGATTTACTTGGTCATAAATACAGTAAAAACAGTAATATTGTTAATTATTTTCTATATTTTATTTTAAAATATTTTAGCCACTGCTCGAGTCGTCAGTGTCACATCGTGCTGCAGAAATTATTCTATAATATGCAGATCTGCTGCTCAAGAAACATTTCTTGTTTTCAACATTAATATTAATATTTTGTGGACACTGATATATATTTCAAGATTCTTTGATGAATAGAAAGTTCAAAAGAGCAATTTATTTAAAAACCGCTAAATAAACGGATTTTGCAGCCTAATAGCAGTTTTAGACTAACGACGGTAGCAGAATCTGTTCTGCTTGATTCAGTGATATTTAACTGAACGCAGCACAGTGTTGGAAAAGTGCAGGATGGTAGAATTAACTGAACAAGCACAGAAAAGGGTTTCTGTCAGAGCGAAACCTCAACATGGACATGCAAACACAATCCTTTTTTTTTAAATTCCATGTTAAAGGAACAGATTTGCCATAAATGAAAAGATGCTGAGAGTTTACTCACCCTTGTGCCTTTTAATATGTAGATGAGTTTGTTTCTTCATCGAAACAGAATTGGAGAAATTTAGCATTACATCACTTGCTCACCAATGGATCCTCTGCAGTGAATGGGTGCCGTCAGAATGAGAGTCCAAACAGCTGATAAAAACATCCTCATCAAAACAAACAAACTCATCTACATCTTGGATGGCCTGAAGAGGAGTACATTTTCACATTTTTTTTTTGTACTATTAAGGCTGAATTACTACTTTTAACTGAAAATATATATAATATGTAGGCCTATATTTAAATTATTCTTTTTCTAGCTAAACAGTTTCTGGCTAACCCTACTGATTGCTGTTGAGTTTAAGATCTGAGTGCGATAACATGGCTAAGGCTAAACAAACTGATGGCTGATGTTATAATTTGTGACATGTGGAAAGGGCTTTAGCCAGAGGTATTTGTTTTTTTTCTACCACCCTCTCCAAACATCAAATGCAATCTCTTCTTCGGGGCTACTCGCATTGAAAATAGAAACAAGGTGACTGCTCTTTCAGAGGTCAAATTTTGAAATAATTGTTTTTTTGTCAAGTGCCCCTAGTTGTGGTGGGTGGCAAAGGCTTTAAGTTTTGTCAAAGACCTTTTAGACGTGTCAGTTGAAAGATACAGGAAAAGCTAATCCTATTTATAAATATAATCTCTCAAGGCCAGTGGCGTGGTGTAGTAAAGTGACTGTCTGCATTCATAAGATTGTATTAAGTAACATTTATTGCAGGGACAATGGTTTGTGGTGCCAGGAAACTCTACAGTCATGGCCAAAAGTTTTGGCAGTGACATAAATTTTTCACATTGTTTCTAGATTGTTGTGTAGAGTGATTAGATGCATTTTAAATAATTGCTAAAAGCTTCATTGGCCCAAAAAATTCAATGTTTTTTGATCCTGACACAAAATGACCAGCTAACATTAATTGACTAATCATATCAGCAGCACATGTGAAAGTGTGAATGAGTACTAGTCAGGTAAAATCACTATCATACTAAATAGATTGAACATCAGATAGCGGCGCAGATTGATTGCTATAAAAGGATGGAAGAATGCTTCCAATCATTGCGTTCTTGTTAGCAATGGTTACCTCCAAAAAAAACACGTGCAGTCATTATCGCTTTGCATCAAAATGGCCACACATACAAGGAAATTACTACGAAGAATATTGCACCTGAAAGAACCATTTACCGGATCCTCAAGAACTTCAAGGAGAGAGGTTTGACTGCAGTGAAGAAGTCTTCAGGACGTCCCAGAGTGTCCAGCAAGCGCCAGGACCATCTCCTCCTGAGGAGTCAGCTACAGAACAGGACCGTCTCCTCCTGAGGAGTCATCAACGGAATCGTGTCTCCAGCAGTGCAGAGCTTGCTCAGGAATGGCAGCAGGTTGGTGTGAGAGCATCTGCACGCACAGTGAGGCCAAGACTTTTGGACAACGGCCTGGTGTCAAGAAGGGCAGCAAAGAAGCCACTTCTCTCCAAGAAAAGCATCAAGGACAGACTGAAATTCTGCAAGAAGTACAAGGATTGGACAGCAGAAGACTGGTGCAAAGTTATTTTCTCTGATGAAGCTCCCTTCTGACTGTTTGGGACATCTGGGAAATCGATTGTTCAGAGAGGAAAAGGTGAACACTACCATGAGTCCTGTGACGTACCAACAGTGAAGCATCCTGAGACCATCCATGTGTGGGGTTGCTTTTCAACCAAGGGAGTGGGCTCTCTCATAATTCTGCCCAAAAACACTGCCATGAATAAAGAATGGTATCAAAACGTCCTGCAAGAGCGACTTCTTCCAACGATCCATGAGCAATTTGGTGACGATCCGTGCATTTTCCAGCATGATGGAGCACCATGTCAAAATAGAAAGAGTGATAAAGAAGTGGTTCGAAGATCATTACATTGAAATTTTGGATCTGTGGCCAGGCAACATAGAGAACCTGTGGTCAGTCCTCAAAAGGCGAGTGGACAAGCAGAAGCCCAAAAATTGTGATCATCCCCGAGAACTAATAAGGCAAGAATGGATCGCCATCAGTCAGGATTTGGCCCAGAAGCTAATATCCAGCATGCCAGAGCGAATTGCAGAGGTTATGAAGAACCAGGGTCAACACTGTAAATATTGACTCATTATATTTTTTTGCCAATAAAAGCCTTTAAAACTTATGAAATGCTTATCATTGTTTTTCAGTATACGTTAGAAACGTGTAAAATAATCTACAAATACTGAACCAGCAAACTTTGCAAAACACACAATTTATATCACTGCCAAAAACGTTTTGCCACGACTGTATGTGTCTCTATTATGTAAGCCTGGCAGTCTGTGCGGAAATCAGTCCACTTTTATTTATCCACAGTATTTCTGTGCCTCCTGTCTGCTTGTGTCTTTATTTTGAGAGACAGACTCTTACAATGAGAGCTCAATAAAGAAACTTTTGGGAAGTGTAGTATAATGAGGATAGAGGATAAAAATACACCCAGATTAGAGATGACCTATGGTTATCTTCACAACCTGAGGCTAAATCTCTCTGGTCAAATCAGACCAACACGAAACGTGGCACATTGCATAAGCTATGGCAGCTCTGTCTTATTGATCTTCGCTGAGAATTGTTTTGCCAATCAAAAAGACAAATATTAGCAACCCACATAAAAAAAAATATATATTATGCAAGTTTCAGTTCTGTATTCTATATAACCATTGAAACCTATTAATTGATAATAACTTTATAATAAAATTAATTCTTATTTTAACAGATAATATAAAAAAATGAAAAATGTATATTTCTAATAAATGTATGTATGTATTTATTTATTTAAAATGGCAAGAACAAATGCCAATATGGCTGTCTGTCTAGCAGGTATGATTCAGCACTGTCAAATATTAGTGAACTAATTTTAGTAAAGTCATGTTTTACATAACACGTACATGGCCTGTAAAATGCACGTACACACATTTATTGCTACATATGCTGAATATATATGAGCACCGGCACAGCCATTGAAATGCAGAAGTACCTTTTGGAGTGAGATTTTTAAAAACATATTTTCACGAGTATTGCAACAATCTATTCATATACTCAATATACTCATATATTTACACTTATTTATTAATTTAAAAGATCTGGAAACTCTATAGTCTGTGTAGAAGCACCTGTGCTTGCCTAGCATAAATAATTCAAGAATTGTTTATCAAAGCTGACATTCTGTTTGCCTGATCATCAGGAAGATGTACGAAAGGATCCTGTGGTGTTGCAGTCATTCATCACAGAGCAGAACGTGGGATTATTAAAGCAGAGACACGCGCTCGCAGTTGCTTTTTAAATGAGAACAGGGGAGGGGTTGTGAAAAATGCTTTTCAAGCAAATGTTTAGTCTCTGTTTCTATGCATTAGCCTTGAATGCAAAGGAGGCAATGTGAATTACCAGGCTGATCTATAGTCTTAAAAATGCTGAGTAATACAGCTAATTGGTATTTAACCCACTCAGCTGAATGACCATTGGCAAAGACTTTGGTTGTTGGATATCTAAGATTTTAACGCACTGATCTTTATGGAGCTACTACAACATGCTATAGAAATATACAGGATGTTAAATTACATTACAAAATGAGAGTATGCATTTAGTAGATTGGGTAATTACATATTCGGTTACACTGGTAGGAAGTGCATATAAAGACAAAAGCATTAAACTCATTTAGAAAACAAAGAACAGTTGTAGCTACGAGATGAATAAAATTGAAAAAAAAAATGATAACAGAGAGGGCCATTATCTTAGTCTTACTCATAAAGTTATGTGACTACAAGTATTAAGAAACCACAGAACTTGTGATGGTTGTAAGTTCATTAAATACCTAGAGGGAAGTGTGGTTACAAGCCTGTGATGAATTGTCAGGTGTCTGTCTATAAATGTGTCTCCGGTATTTATTTATTTTGTCTTACAGTGATAGTTTACTCAAAAATTGAAAATTTGTCATCATTTACTACTTTCATATTGGTATGATTTTATTCCCAAAAGGAGGGGTCAGGCAGAATGACAGTTATTCATTATCGCTGCATATTTTTTCCCCCATTTAATGAAAGTGAATGGTGACTGAGTTTGTCAGTCTGCCTGAAATCATTTTTGGTGTTCCATGGAAGGTAATAAGTGTTGGAAAGTGTATGAAAAATGATTTGAGTGTAAATAATGACTAATAAAGAATTGAAGTGTTTGGGTTAACTATGCCTTTAAATCTGCATTTCTGCATCTGCATTAAATCTGCATTTTTGGTGGATGAGGAGATAACCCCTGACAATGTAAAGCGCTTTGAGTGCCCAGAATATATATAAATGTTATGAATTATTATTATTATTATTATTATAATTTCAGTGTTTTAGTTAAACACACAAGCACACTCTTAAGTGATCAAAAACAGGCTGAAATAGCCTAATCAACAAAACAGAATTATTAAACCTCAAACATACGGTACGTTCAAGACAGTAGATGTTTCTCCTCACAGGAGGACACAAGATGATAGATGTGATGCAAGCAACCCCGAAAAGTCAGCCAATGACGCGGAAACGTGATTGGTCAAATGTGTGTCAGCAGACATCAACAACCGCATCCCATTGGTTAGCTGCTATGAACTCTACACCAGCCTTACTTCTCCGGCTCCAAACGCGCTACATAATTACAAAAGCGTGAAATTGATCCATAGCGAGTAATCGTGTTGACGTTACCGTGTCAGATACTTTAAACAAGCGCTACAGTTTCCAAGCAGGGAAACGTGGCAAATGCACAAAAGCAGCGATGATTTCTGCCAATAACTACAGAATAATGCACATGCACCTAGCTATGTATTGATAGATTTTATAAAGACTTCATATACACAGTCTTCCTATACAGCGAATGTAATAACGCTTTGCTTGCATGTCTCCATATGATTCCACATGATTACCTGTATTATGGCGTTCACATTTTTGCTAGAGATTGTGGGCTAGGCTAGGATTTGAGCTAGTGATGGGGAAGTCCGACTCATTTCCGCGAATCGGTTCTTTTGAACAATTCGTTTACAAAACGGTTCAAAACAAATCTTTTACGTCATGGCGTGATTGTCACCACGTAGTGCCTGACAAACCGGCCTACCCTACTTTTAACGTTTCAATAAAAACGTAGGCTATCCGTGTTTATTTAGGCCTATTCCTGTATTACGTTTTTAATTATGTTTTATTAATAAGAGCCTTTATGTTAGATGTGTGTGTGTAGCCTAACTGTCACAAAATCAAGTAGGCTTAACACATGTTGATAATGTAACATTTCTGCTTGTTGTACCTTGTCGTCCTATTAGTCAAACAATTCACCCGAGTCAGTTCATATCTCATAACGAATCAGACATGTTCGGAGGAGAATGAATCGGTTAGTTGTAGACTCCAGAACCTCCAATTCAGTCCGATTCGTGAGCAAAGCTTTTTAAACCAGTTTTGTGAATCGGTTCAAATGATTTATTGGAAAGATCCGACTCTAAAAGAACGAATCTTTCCCGAATCGGACATCGCTACTTTGGGCAGGCGCTATTTAAGGCTGGATACACCGCTTTGAAACACACATTCAGTTTTGTTTACGAAAAAAATCGTGTTTTTCAAATAAAGATATGAAGCCGTGCGGCTTCGTGGAGGATGAGAGTTCCAAATGTCACGAGGGACATAAGCAGAGCATCACACTGAATAGGCTTCGAATCTGATTAAGTTAAGAGTGCAGCGATCTTCAAATATTATAGATCATTGGTGTTATTAAATAGAACGCAATGTCGAAACAATATTGTTGAGTCTCGAGGGGGGGGGTGTGCATCGTGGTCTGGATGGTACCTGCCAGTGACTTTCAAGAGTCCCCCGACGGTTTTTAAGCGTTCGGCTTAATGCATGGTTCAGATGTTTAATATGCTAGTCAGTCAGTGCAAACACGCTATCTGATGAACGGCTTTGTCGGCATAGCTGTGATTATTATGGTCCGGCTTGTTTATCATGCATCAGAGCTACTGTACCAGTTCTCCTGCATCCATCGAATGGCTTCATCTTCATTGAATTGCCTCTCGAATTCGTATTCTTGCAAAGCCAGCACCGACATGGTCTCTCGTCCTTTAAACGCTAACTGTTAGAACGTTAGGCTTTCTTTGGCGACTAAATAAGCTCAGTTTGACGGATATCCTAGCTATGTCTCGCAGGCTCAGCTCCAGCCTTGCCCTCGCATCGCTCTTGCCACCCCCAGCACACCGTTGAGTTGTTCTCGAATGTCAGCCTATTTGACTCTCAGCCCGTGCCAGCGGCATACGCCCTCCTCTCTTCTGAGGAAGAGGAAGAGGAGCGCAGCGCGCGGTCCTAATGCCGCAGATCTGATGCATCCTGAGCTGTCGTCATCCCAGACTGCGGTGACCTTTGGCATACATTCATAAACGATGCGTTTTTCAGCGTTTTCGCTCGATGTTCAGACTGGGCACTCTTTATTGCTGAAAATAAATCAGCAGACTAACAACTGAACCAAACTAATCCATCATCTGCAGGGGTTTCTAACAGACTCCCAGGCAGTTCTTATATGTTCTCTAACATTTCATTTGACTTAACAAAATGTATTAGCCTACCTTCTATTATGTTTGACTAATGTAGCATCATTAAAATATTTAATATGTGTGACCCGGAACCACAAAACCAGTCATAAGGGTAAATGTTTTGAAATTGAGATTTATACATCATCTAAAAGCTGAATAGCCTAAATAAGCTTTCCATTGATGTATGGTTTGTTAGGATAGGACAATATTTGGCCGAGATATTTGAAAATCTGGAATCTGAGGGTGCTAAATTGCCTTTAAAGTTGTCCAAATGAAGTTCTTAGCAATGCATATCACTAATCAAAAATTAAGTTTTTATATTTTTACGGTAGGAAATTTACAAAATATCTATATGGAACATAATCTTTACTTAATATCCTAATGATTTTTGGCGTAAAAGTAAAATCGATAATTTGGACCCATACATTGTATTTTTGGCTATTGCTACAAATATACTCGTGTGACTTATGATGACTGGTTTTGTGGTCCAGGGTCACATATATAAGTAATATATAATATATAAATAAAAATATATATTTAGGTATTTATTTATATTTTTAAAGAAAACCTGCAAGTTAAACAAATAGTATAAAAATATAAAAAATATGATCCTTTGATGAACAAAGTTCAAAAGAACAGCATTTATTTGAAACAGAATCTAACATGATAAATGTCTTTACGGTCACTTTTATCTATTTAATTTGAATTCCTTGCTGAATAAAATAATTAATTTCTTTAAAAAAATAATACTGACCCCAAACTTTTTTTTTCAGGGTGATTTCTAAAAATCAGCGATTTCCAACACCACCCCCCCCCCCCCCCCACCGACTCTTCTACCTAACAACAT